ACTATTAAATCACCAGAAGATTACAAGAGCAGTGTTTCTCAAATGGTAGACTATACTATCACGTACACTCTTCACTTAAGTAATTTTCTTTCTATAAACACAACGTGGAGAACAATAATCACAAGTGTGTAAGATTGAAGCATTATTCAGACTTTGGAATTCTTGATTCTGGTTCTTATATCTTGTACGATGTTTGCACTCCTTTTATACTCCTCTACTTCCAATCTATCCGCTGGACAGTTTTCAGAGGATTGATCTCCAAATCAACCCGTTAGAGATTCTTCCCAAAATAGGATGCATAGCCATTAGAAGAAGAACCATTATCTCCGAGTGATTTGATCGCCCATACAATCAAATCAAGATTTCCATAAGTGCAGTTCTTCGTATTTGAGGAACGATCTTGTGATTACCAATTTGGATATTTTAAAATATCAATTTGATAATCCTGCATAAACTTGCCAAAAATAACACTCATTGAGTCTGATGAGTAATTTTGAGTCTGATGACAAAGTCCTTTCATCGACTAAGTTTGATGACTAAGTATTTACCTGCATCAAATAACTTAAGTGTAATTCTGGTCAGTAATAGATTATTTTGTCATTCCTCAAAACTCATTAGTGATTTTGCTCAACACAATCAATAATCTCAAATTCAATGGTCTATTCTAAATATAGTCACGCTTAATAACCCTGTCAAAGGCAACCAAGTTTACCTCCTTGATTAGGTCTCCACCTATACCTGGTTTGGCCCAGAAGGACATCTTGATAACAGTATGCATACTTACCCTCTCAATGGGTTCTAATCATAACGACATGAGCATAATCCCCAATATCATTCTCCAATACCCACAAAACAAATCCATAACTCATTCACAAACCGAATCATATAACCTTTCAATACATTTCATAAAGTATTTAACAAATCAATACGTATAGATTTGGGAATTCCCTTCACAAAGCAATTAATCAAAACATTCACAAATGATCGTTTCAAACTATTTCAAATAAGGCTTTCTAATGCCTTTTCAACCGACTAAAAATGTACTAAAAGTTCGATCAAATTTATGCAAGAAATATGCTCTTTCATAACTCATACTATATTAAATCTCTACCACTTTCAAGATATGATCTTGTAAATTCTTGAAGAGATAGTACAATTCATCCGGAAAAGCCGAAAACCAACTTACAATGGTTACTCAAGCCGATGCACCCGCATTCCTATCAATTAATCAAAAAATGATATAAAAACCAAGTAATCCACTACTCTAATGAATGACTCGACTAAACTATGCTTAATTGTCAATAAAACGAATTCCACACACTGACGAAGAAACTCGTTTATAACAAACGTTCAACTTTGCCCATTACGTGTATTGTCCATTATGTGTAACTCGCACATGAAACTTTAGAAATTCATTTCGATTAAATTGTACTTCAAAATCGATTTTCGTCAAATCCCACAACTTCGCATTGCTCTAAACTATTATATATATATATATATATATATATATATATATATATATATATATATATATATATATATATCCATAACTCGACAACTCCTCCATCGAATCTCAGTTTAAAATTGACATAACTTCAGATTTCCGACCTAACTTCAAAAATTACTTCAGTTATACGAATAATAGACTTGAATATTTACCCGGCATTGCAATTCGGAGTTGATTCGGGTTGTTGGGACATAGAAAATTCTCTCTTTTCCGCTTTTCCTCTCTTCACGGACGTGCTCTTTCTATTTTAATTTTTCTGTTTTGTCCGCCGCTCGCGTGAATCATCTAGAGGAGGAAAGAAAGATGGGCTGAGTTTGGCTTCTAGGAGACAAGGGCTTGTACTTGTTAGGCCCATCTATTACAATATATATTTCTCGTTCATGTGACACCTAAGCCATGATCTAATCAGCTCGGGCATGCAGACAAGACTTGGACAGTTGGACCTCACTGTGACGCAGGCAATGACAATATTAAGCCGCCTCTCCCACAGTGCAACGAACAAAAAGTCTCATCATCGACGTTCTCTTTCCCTCTGTATAAGTGGCACCCTGCGTTTAGCCTTATTTCACCACGAAAAGCATTCTTCAGTTCTGTTCAAATTGCAAAAGCTTCAGCTTGTACTGACAATTCAATGGCGAAGGAAGTGATATTGTTGGACTTTTGGCCGAGCCTGTTCGGGATGAGGACCAGGATTGCCCTTAGAGAGAAGGGCGTGGAGTTTGATACGAGGGAGGAGGATCTGAGCAACAAGAGCCCCCTGCTCTTGAAGATGAACCCGATCCACAAGAAAATCCCCATCCTCATCCACGGTGGCAAGCCCATTTGCGAGTCCCTCATCATCGTCCAGTACATTGACGAGACCTGGGGTCACGAGTCTTCTCTCCTGCCTTCGGATCCTTACGAGCATGCTCATGCTAGGTTCTGGGCCGACTACGTGGACAAGAAGGTAAGATAGCAACGCCTTAATATTTCGAACATTTCCTTAATAAGTATGCTTAACATCAAGGCATGAAATGACTATGCAGTTATATCCGGCACTGCGAACATTGCGGTATTCGACGGGGGAGGCCCAAGAGGCGGCGAAGAAGGAGTACATCGAGTGCTTGAAGGTGTTGGAGGGAGAGCTCGGCGACAAGACTTACTTTGGCGGTGAGAGGTTTGAGTATGTGGATGTGTCGCTGATACCGTTCTATAGCTGGTTGTATGGTTTGGAGGCATTGGCCAACTTGAGCATCAAGGAGGAGTGCCCCAAGTTTGTGGCGTGGGCCGAGCGTTGCATGCAGAGGGAGAGCGTGGCCAAGTCATTGCCCGACCAGTACAAGCTCTATGAATTCCACTTGGAGCGCAAGAAGAAGCTTCAGACACAATAAACAACTCTTTGAGTTTGACTATTGATCATCTCATCACTCTTTCGTTCAATAACCCCTCTCCTATGGAAGAGGCTAGCTCTTTTGGTATTGGTATGATTTCCTCTTTGTATTTCATAGTATTTCTGGATCAGCTAAATAACTATATACACCATCTCACGAGTACCGTTTAGTATTATGTTATGCGTTATTTGCGCCGTGTACGTCAAATGAGCAATGGAAATCGATCAATTCGGTCGTCAATTACATGTAGTGTTGCGAGAGAATTTCTCCTCTTTCAAAATGTTTTCGATGACAAATCCTCTCAAAGAAAACAAATCTATTTAGCACACATTGAGCATTCACTCGACGAATGAATTTCACTCATGTTACTAAGCCGCCTCCCATGGCTGGCTAAAAATATTCTGTGGTTCTTTATTTCTCTCTCACACGTGCGAGCATAGACACACACGATATATTGAAGACACATACAATGAATTTCTATGAGGAAATTTAAAGTGAAGCGAACACTGGAGGAGGTCTAAATGATGATGAAAATTCATTTGAGGTGCTATGTGCTCGAGCAGGTGTGTCTGCGAGCGTTGTACCAGTATAATTGTTTGGGATGGATGACTGTTGCTGGCAAAATCCAGTAACTGCTATATGTCAATTGGACAACAGATTTACCTAAGCATCGTGAAAGTGTTTCTCGATGTACTACCAAGCGATTTGGGGGAGATTGTTTCTTGTTTGCAGGTATTTTTCTTGAAATTATTTGGTACTATTGCTGTTTTTCTATGACAGACACTTCACAAGACTTTGTTTCCGATTTAATTGGTCAATCGAGTGACTTTTCTTATAAGAATGAATAATTTTTAAATCCCCTGTTCTCTAGTTAGCATTTTTGTTTTCGTGTGGTGTTTCTTAGGTATCTTTGAAGAACTTTTCCTTCCGGTTTCCATTTTCAATGAAAATAGGACATTGCTTGGAAAAAGGGGCATTCAGTGAATCGATGACGGGTTCTTGCCACTGAAAGATGTTCGAAAAGGAACTAGTTTTGCAGGACTCTAGAACAAGTCTTGAGTTAAATAACTGAAAGTGGATGCCATTCAGTTCCTAAGCATCTCATTGCCCAGTCCTCTGCAATTTTCTCCGCAAACTTACTGCTTACTACTGAAGATATCAATGGGAAATGTATCTTCAAAATCGACATATGGATGTTAAAAAGACAGTTTTAAGAGTTTATATGGGGATAGAGTCGAGTTCATCCTTATGTCCATAGGATGATAATATGTTCCGAGGCTCATCCGTTTCCAAAAATTTGGCAGATGTCAGCCACAAAAAAAGTCAAGGACGAGCTGATCGTGTCTAGGTACATAAACAATGAGAAATGGAAAACGAAATATATATGTCGTTCATGGGACACCTAAGTCAAGACCTTAGCAGCCCCGGGATGGAGACTAGACTTGGACCTGAGAGTGACGCGAGCAATGACGACATTGAGCCGCCTCTCTCTCCCGAGAAAAAATCAGGTGATCCGGGACCGCCAAGTCAGCGTGGTCCCGGACCGCTCATGAAGCGCCACGTGGTCCAGGTGGCGCTTGTGGGGCCGGCTCGCCCGGATGGAAATTTTGCACAAAAAAAATTATATTCATTATTTCTTCTTTGCACGCATTTATTTCTTCGCTCTCTTCTTCTTTCTCCTTCGCATTGATGAAGAAAACCCACCGCCGCTCTTTCCTCTCTCGCTTTCAAATTTATTTTGAATCTCTGCGATATCGCTCTCAAATTTGGCTCAGCTTCCGCGTTGCTCCGGCGCTCCCTCACTGGCGTTGTTTCTCCTCCGGCGATCTTTCGCTCTCTGTGCAGTGCCACACCGTCGAGAATGGCGCCAGCCACAAGCAAGGTTCCCCTCTTCTCCTCTTCCCCCGCGCCTGGATTCTTCGTCGATCCATTTTTTTTGTGTGCCCGCGTTGAGCGGTTTTGATTGGTCTTTTTCTCTTACTTTTCTCTTTGGTGGTGGTGGGTTCGGTACAAAATGGGGCCCTTCTGGTTTTTTGCCACCATTGTTACTGCAAATGAAAGTAAACCCAAGCATTGATGCTCTATTCTGAAGGGGCTGCTAGTTAATTTGCTTCGTGCTCTCGTTTGAAAGTTTGAAGGTATGATGACTCCGAGCCAAGGGCAAGCGGCATTGCTGACATTCTGCTCCTGCATTAGCCTCACTAGCGTTGGCCTTGTTCTTACAGACTGTTCCGGACATTGGTAACAACTGATTTTGGATCATTGCATCGAACCCCTTAGCGTAAGTGAAGATTGTTTTTTCTTGAAGAGTCCGATTTATAGCGTTCCTCATTTCTGAAGAACAAAAATCATCTGTGAATATGCTGAACCCTTGATATGATATTTTGCAGTGGAGCACACTATTGGATGCGGGCATCGTGGAAGGAGCAAATTAAGGTAAAGATGATAGTGGCGGAAGACGGACGCTATCGTAGATCGTTGAGCAGACGAGGAAGGAGCTGTAGCTCAGTGAGAAGGGAATGGTTTATGTAAAGGGCATATTTGAGAGATGACCAACACCCCAACACTTCTGATGGGGTGTTGATCATCCAACGCTCGAAGCAATACTTACTGCAGGGGCATGCTATTACTAGGAAGCTTAATTCTGATGGTAAGGTGGATATAATGCAGACTCTGCACAACCTAAATGAAGGTATTGAATTTTCTTGTTTGTTAAATGCTGGATTCCCAAAAATGGTTCATTCATATAGCTCATGACTGTCTAGATGAGCTGCCTCAATTTGAACAAGCCTGGAAGAAAAATGCTAGAAAGCATTTGCCTGGTTGGAGCGAGCATTTTGATGGCCATGTTGGACGGGGTGAGTATTGTTGCGAGATTTTTTTTTTTCCAGCTGCATCTTTTGTGTTAAGTGACAAGCAAAGCATGAATGTTTCAATTTCTTACTACTGTTAGAGATAGGCTGAACTCTGTGGTGAATTTGTTTTGCTGTTAAAGGCCTTAGCGTAACAATCTCAACATTTTGGTTGAACGTTTCATCACTTATCTTGTGAGGGTGGTGTTCTTGTTTCTAATATGCGCCTTTTGTTGGTGCCAGCCACAGTCAAGCATCGCCTTTGTCGGACAAGGATCATGAAGAGAGGGCAAAAAGATGTGAATTTGTGTCTGAGCTATTATGATCCACTGTCATTGACGATAATTTATGAGTAGGTGCAGAATGGTGTATGATCTGGAGCTTACGTGACCGAGAATCCGCCCCTACAATCTTTATGGTTGGCCTGGGGTGAATGTGTTGTTTGCTGATGTATTAAAATAGGAAGCAATGGAATAAGGTTTATAAGCTAAAATGTAATTCTTTGCTTGTCGACTTCGGTTTTGACCTGAGCAAACAATGCTGTGCATAGCTCCTATGTGATGCTTGGACCTCTCAAAAGTATCAATATTGAAGAACTTTTCTTTACGTCTATGTACCATGTATTATTCATAAACGTATCAAAGCACTGTCGAAAAAGCAAGGAATATTGAGTGAGAATCGCCAAATTTTACTGTAGTTAGGACTTGGAAGTAATAGGAATGGAGTGGGGGTAGGATTTTCATGGCACCAGGCATCGCATCCGGGCATTGTTATACTCATTGAAGTGGAAAGATATCATCAGTCAATGCTAGTCTCGCTTGATGATATCTTCCTTTGTTTCCAATGACCAAAATAAGACCAAATCACAGTGTATAGGAATGAGAACATTCCGTGCCACATTTAAACTTCTGACTAGGTCCGAGTCCGAATTTACTCTCTGAGAAGTGAGTTAGCCAGTCCTATGCAATTGAATTAGATGGACAAGAGAGAGGAGAACCGCCTAGGAAGAAAAAGGAAGCACTATTTAGATTGATTAACCCACCTCTTCCAAAAATAGGACCCCTTCAACCAAAAAATAAATATCATCGATGTAATCACATAAAAATGGATCCTCTTGGGACTACGAACAGTTATCAGTATAGACAAAAATCCCCCTACTTCTCATCTAAATCCCCCCAAAAAGAAGGATGGACGTGCAAAAAATGGCAACCCACGTTTATCAATTCGTAAAGACCTTAACCAATGCAGTGGTAGTCTTGTGTACATTATGTTTTGGGTTACATCTTTGACGAAAACATCAAAAGATGTTGAGTAAACTCCTCTCATCAGAATTGTTTGTCCAGTTGCCATTTTGTCTATGCGGGAATAAAAGGAAGGCAGAGGGATCGTGTAGACCTCGCTCCTCTTGTGCTCAAGGTCACAAGCAGCCAATACAGTATGAGTGGAACACCTCGCTATTTCCTTAAACTCACCATGACCTGCATCAACGATTATATCGATAAGTTCATAGGCAAGGCACCTTGCGCACCACGGAAAAAACAAATGCAATAAGCACTTGAAAGAACGCATCATAAAGAGAACAAGCACGGGATTCTAGAGCATAAAGTGTATAATAGTAGGACCAAAAATCTAGTAGAACATATAAATAACTCGCATACCTAAATCAATTTCTCTCAAAAGGCTTTTCAAATGGCTTTTGACCATTGATTGCAATTCCTCTTTTGCTCTACGAAAATGGCTATCTTCACTTCCTGCATAAGGAGATACAGCCCCATCAGAACCGAGGCTGGATCGGCTGCTGGACTGATGATGCTGGTCAGGAACTATAGTTGAGCTCATCCCCACACATTCGTCTAGAAGTGCCCGGCTAGAACTACAGGGAGTTCTTCTGGACCACCATCTCAAGCACTATGCGAAATTTCACCACTGTCTACCACCTGCAAGTCGCCGGACCACCGCCCACCCTCAATTATGACTCCAGAATGGTGCGTAACATACAAAATGGAATACCAGTATAGTGCAGTCAAGTATCGTAAAAAATCAGTATTAAGGAGTCCCCGGTTCATGAGGAGGCATCGGACAGGACTCTAAAAGGATAAAAAAAGCATATTGAACCACGGCGACAAAAAACGTTAGTGAAAGATCATTAAGCGAACCCGATCACCACGCATTCGAAGCGACTCAAAATCGGACCTTGGTTCAAACATTCTGTCAAACACATGGTGCGCAGTGGACGTTCGAGCAATTAAAAACTTGAACGCACACCAAGACTTGAAAGAGACCATCAAAACACGCTTGTCCAGCGACGTACAGCCATAACAAGTTCAAATTCAATCAACTAAGAATTAAAATTTTCCATCTTAAAAAGGATTGAAAAAAGGGTAAAAGAACTTACCAAAAAAAAAAGGGTAAAAGAAATCAAAACTTCCAACATATCTCAGTGTTTGAATGGGCATTGGCAGAGATGTCGAACCAAGTAAACAATTAGAGTAATGCAAGTTTCATCATCCGTACCTGAATGAAGTGAAAATGGGATCCCCAGATCTCGGCCGCCCCAGCAGATTAATGGGCGAAGGAAAGCTGCGCCGGAGCAGAGACGGAGCGAGCGAGCGACGGACCGAGCGCCGGATTTTTTCGAGAGCGAGCGTGCGCTGGAGCAGAGACGGAGCGAGCACCGGAGCAGAGAGCGAGGACGAGGGACCCAAACCTTGACTTCGTTAGAGAGGGGCGGAGCAACGAGGAAGCCGAGCCAAATTTGAGAGCGAAATCGCAGAGATTCAAAATAAATTTGAATGCGAGAGAGGAAAGAGCGGTGGGTTTTCTTCTTCAATGCGAAAACAAAGGAGAAAGAAAAAGAGTGAGAAGAAATAAATGCGTGCAGAGGAGAGACAGAGAGAGGCTAGCGTGCAGGGCTAAGGAGAAATAATGAATATAATTTTTTTGTGCAAAATTTCCATCCGGGCGAGCGGGCCCCCACAAGCTGACTTGGCTGTCCCGGACCACCTAATATTTTCTTCCTCCCTCTCCTACAGTGCAACGAAAAAAAGGTCTCATCATCAACGTTCTCTTTCCTTGTACATAAGTGTGCCACTGGGTTTAGCCATTGCGTTTAGCTTGATTTCACCACGGAAAGCATTCTTCACTTCTGTTCAAATTACCAAACTTCAGCTTGTAGCGACATTTCTCAATGGTAGAGGAAGTGATATTATTGGACTTTTGGCCGAGCCTGTTCGGGATGAGGGCCAGGATTGCCCTGAGCGAGAAGGGCGTGGAGTTCGATCTGAGGGAGGAGGATCTGAGCAACAAGAGCCCCCTCTCTTGAAGATGAACCCGGTACACAATCAAATCCCCATCCTCATCCACAACGGTAAGCCCGTTTGCGAGTCCCTCGTCATAATCCAGTACATCGACAAGACCTGGGGTCGCGAGTCTCCTCTCCTGCCATCGGATCCTTACGAGCGTGCCCATGCTAGGTTCTAGGCCAACTACGTGGAGAAAAAGGTAAGATTTTTAGCGAGGCCTTAAATCTTTCCGACATTTCGTTATGAAGTGCGCTTAACATCAAGACACCAAATGACGGTGCAGATATTTCTGGGGGTTCAAATGGTGTGACTGTCGACAAGGGAGGCCCAGGAGGCGGCGAAGAAGGAGTACATCGAGTGCTTGAAAGTGTTGGAAGGAGAGCTCGAGGACAAGGCTTACTTTGGCGGCAGGAGGTTCGGGTATGTGGATGTGTTGCTGATATCATTCTATACCTGGGTCTATGGTTTGGAGACATTGGCCAACTTTAGCATCGTGGAGGGGTGCCCCAAGTTGGTGGCATGGGCCGAGCGTTGCATGCAGAGGGAGAGCGTGGCCAAGTCATTGCCCGACCAGTACAAGCTCTATGACTTCTTCTTGGCGGTCAAGAAAAAGCTTTAGGCGCCATCACAAACAAGTCTCTGAGTCTGATCATTGCTCATTTCATCACTCTTTCATTCAATGACCCCTCTCTTCGGATGAGGCTAGCTCTTCTGTACTTACTATGATTTGCTCTTTGTACTTCAATGTTGCTGGATCAGCTATATAACTAATACACATCATCTCACGAATTCCGTTTATTATGTTTTGCGTTATTTGCACCGTGCACGTCAAGTAAGTGATGAAAATCGATCAATTCTGTTGTCAATTACACGTAGTCTCACGAGAGAATATCTCCTCTTTCAAAATATTTTCAATAACAAATCCTCCAGAAGACAACAAATCTATTTAGCACGCGTTGAGCGTTGACTCAATGAATGAATTTCACATAGTGTACTAAGCCGCCTCCACATGGATTGCTAAAAATATGCCATGCTTCCTTATTTCTCTCTTGCGCCGGACGTGCACAGGACACCCACGACATATTTGAGACACATACAATGAATGTCAGTTGGACTCTATCACATGGACGTCCTCTATGAGGAAATTTAAAGCAAAGCCAGCACTGGTGGAGGTCTACATGATGATGATGATGATGATGATGATGCCAAGGAATTTGCATTGAAACTTGAAGAGTCTCTTTCTTCTTCGAGGATCGTCACCGAAACACTCGTCAATGGGCGGTTTGTTACTTGGCCATCTAATTACGACTCCCCAACAACGCAGAGTTAAAACTTTGTGTAATGAACCAGTTGAAGACAAACTACGAGAGCATATGATTATAAACTCGGAGGCCTCGGGATCCAGAGAAGCTTGAGCAACAGAAGAAGGCCGAATTGAGACGGGAGTTGTTGCTGGCAAACCTGAAATGTACCCATGACCTTGACCAGAACGTTCCCTTCCACTAAAATAACAACCTCAGCAGGACATGAACTAGTATGCCTTACTACTGGGCGACAGATTCACCTGGTAGTCCAACATGAAGAGAAGAAAACAGGGTCTACCGAAAGCAGAAGCAAAGTCCTCTACTCTGCGCCCATCGCTTCCTTCAGCTCCAAGACCACGCCATCCACCTTTCAAGGGTCGGGGAGAGATTTGGACACACTCTCCTTCTCCATGCACCTCTTGCCCCACGCAACGAGCTCGGGATACTCTGCTTTGATGCTGAAGTTCCCAAACGTCTCGTAGGAGTAGAACCAGCGGTAGAAGCCGATGAACGAGATGTCCAATAAGCCGAACTTCTTGCCCCTGAAGAAAGGTTCGTCTCCGAGCTCACTTTCTATTAGTTTCAGGCTTTAAATGAATTCCTTCTTTGCCGCCTCCTGTTCTTCGCCTTTTGTCACCCACACCTTCTTCCCGAGATCATAGAGCTGCAAAATTGTAGATAATTATAATTTATTTCCTCACGGCACCAGAGCGGGAAGAATCATCAGAATCATCACAAGCTGACTATTAGTATGAGCACTTACTGCTTACATATTCATGCAACATCATCAACATCCATCATGTGTGGAATTAATTACAAGAATTCGGCTGTCCCACCATTTCTAGTCAATGTAGAGAGCCATTTTGCTTACCCTTCATATATGTAATTTCACTACATATTAAATGAAAAGCCATACAAAGACTAAATGACGGTGAATGGATGACGAAGATTTAAGCACCGAGCCATGCGCAGCGAGATCAGATGATATTTTTTTGCATTCTGCACGAGATCTAAATCGCTAATATTGATTACTCAATCAGAAAGCACGTAAATGTCCACAGATTGAAGAATCATTAAAAAATGTACACAGCGATAAAACAGAGGAACTAATACCTTATTGCCGATGTAATCAGCCCAGAATCTGGCTCGGGCTCGCTTGTAAGGATCGGACGGCAAGAGAGGGACCTGCTGGCTCCAGGACTCATCGATGTACTCCACAATGATGAGGGACTCTCAAACGGGCTTGCCGTTGTGGACTGGGTTCATCTGAAGGAGTTCTCTCTCGTTCCAAAAGTCCTCTTCCTCGGACTCGTACTCGACCCCTTTCTCGGCCAGCGCTACTTTCCAGTGAATCTTAACTTTCCAGTGAAGTCGCGAAGTTCATTTTGTTCAACCTGAACGTATGGTGAGCAAGTACATGTTCCGACTTTAATCAGAAGTTATCTTCAGTCAGTTTAGAACTGGAAGCACCAAAAGGAACGAAGCATCTGCCAGGCGAACTAATAATAATCATATATGTAATATATGCCACACCCCCAACTCTATGAGAATGACACGGCGAGCTTCAAAGGTAACCATAATTCAACCTGATATCCAAACATATACATTCATATATATATAATAAAAAGTCATCTGGTTATAGGATTAAAGTTTCTATAATCTATCAAAAAGATATATACAACTAGAACAAAGAGCTATTTTAAAAGTTCAACATAGTGATATACAACTCATACAAAAAAATTCTCACTATCAAAATGTCTTTCCTAATAACGATAATGCTCTTGTCCTACTTATGGCTCACTGAAGAACTTGAAAAGCAAGTAAGATGAATCGAATGAGCAATAATTCAATGAGTAATACATTTCTTCTAAGCAAATTGAGCATTCACTATATATTTTTATAACCGATATCACAACTCACCAATTCTATACCTTGAATATAATGTACGTAAAATATCAAAAGTGAATGATATCTTTTCATCAAAACTTTTTACATATAATATCAATCAACAATGTCAACTATCAATGGTTTATTCCATTGATTAATCTCAATCAAATCAATGTCGATGGGCCATGGCGAGGCTCGACCTCGCCATGGCCGGGCGAGGTCGAGCTCGCCCAGCGACGGCGAGGCCTCGCCCAGATCTGGCAAGACCTCGCCGTCGCTGGGTGAGCTCGATCTCATCCTGGCCATGGCGAGGTCGACCTCGCTCGGCGACGGTGAGGCTCGCCCTCGCCAGTGCCGGCAAGGGCCAACCTCAGCCAGGGCCGGCAAGGTCGAACTCGCCAACCTCAGCCTCTCACCGGCGACCGGGGAAGAAGATAGGGGAAAAAAACAGAAAGAGAAAAAAATAAAATAAAATTTGAAAAATAAAAAAAAATTATTAAAATATTACTACGTCAGCCGGCCGGCGTCCATGTCAGCGCCGGCCGGCCAAAAGTGGCCAGATGGACTTAATTGGCACAATTACAAAATGTTTAGGATTGAATTGGTAAAAAAAAGGTTTAGGACTGAATTAACACAATTGCAAAAGGTTTATGACTTTTTTAGTAATTTTCCCCATATTTCCTGTTCGGCATTGGAGAAAGAAAAAAAAAACTTTTCTTGTTTTGTCTTGGTATTATATTTGGGTGCAAGAATTGGTGGAAATTGTGTCAGTGAAAAGAAAAGGGAAGTGGGGCGCACTTAATTTCCCTTAGTTACTGAAGTCGGCCAAGTTCAATAGAAAAGGAAAGTTGACCATGGCCTTTGTTGACTGAATTGACCGAATTTTAGTGGATGCTATGCGAGGATTTCTTTTCGTGTGATATTCCTTTTCACGGATGGATCAGACTTATATTTGGTTTCCTACCCAACATATGTTATATAAATAGTCGCAAGATTGGTGCAAACCTTTGGGGTAGTCTTGAAGCGCCTTTTCGTGAGTGCTTGTGTGCCGTGGGCATTGTTGATGAGTGCAGAGCTGGTCTTCGTGTCGTCCATGTCGAGAGAAGAACTGAAGTGCTGAACCGAGTGCTTGACTTGAGCCTTCGTGGAATTACATCCTAGCGTTTTCTTCATGTGTGAGATCGAAAAAAAAGTACGAGTGATTTAGCATATTAAATCTTGTGGTAAGATTTGTATAATTTTTTCGTGAGATTGAGAGATTATTTCGTGAGGAATTTGGAGCTAAACAGTGCATGCGTTATCGGGTGTAATTGGGGCTTGGAAAATATTTAAAGTGTTTGAGTGACTTGAGTATGGTTGTAATCTCTGTTGTACC